AGTTTGATAATGTGTTGTATTTAGAAAATTAAGCTATAAATTTTAAGATATAATATAAAATTCAGATTTTATGATAGATTTGTTAATTAATATGAAGTCAGAATTAATAACAAGTGTTGTATCTATTTTTTTAGATGATCATAGCATATATACATGTAACTATATTAAATTATTAATAAAGATATAAACAAGACCTTACCTTAATAATAAAAAATAAATAAATAAAAAAAATAAATAAAATTTTAATTAAAGAAAACAATAATTAATATATACATACTCAAACCAATAAACTTTACTCTATTATAATAAAATACTAAATATACTTATTATATTTTTAAATACTTCTGTATTTGTAATCAATCTAATTAACTTCACTTTTATTCCAAAGTCTGTCTACTAGTTGGTAAACTTTCAAAAAAATTAGTACTTAGTTCATATTATAAATCAAATACGTATAATATAATTTTAAATTTATTTTAACTATAAATAATATTATTTAGATAAGTGTTTGACTACTTTGATGGGTTTTTTAGATTGCAAATAAATTATATAATTTATTTAATTATTTAAACTTTTATTTTTGTATATAGTTTTCTTTTTATTTGTACTAGTACAAATAATAGAAATATATGTATTTCATATATAACTATTTTATAAATTACTTAATAAAAATACAAGCAAGATCTTATTTTTAAAAAAAAATACAAATATAATGATTTGTATCTTCTATATATTTTAAGATTTAATAAGCTTTGTTATAAAAATGGTTGACTTAAATTTTTTAATTAGAAAAGAGTTTTCAAAATATTGAATAAGCTGTCAGTGAAATAATTGTCAGAGGAAATTAATATATACCTTGAGATTTTGGATCACCAAAAAAAGAAAATAGTAAATACTAGATTTGCAATTTATTACAAAAACTCCTCTAGGCGACCTATAATCTTAATTTATTCCATAAAGTCACCTAAATCATTACATCATATGTAATAACATTAACATTAGCCAAACTATGATTTAATTTATAAGAAAATCTCATATAAGCACAACTCTTCTATAAATAGATTATTGAAAAATTTACTATGTGCCCAACTTAATGCTATCGCAAAAGTATATCTAGAAAAACTTCAATCAATAAGATTTATTAAGTATTGATACTATAATTTAAAGAGGTTATATACAATAAATATAATCTTGTGTTTTAACCTTTTCTACGCACAAAATTCACAAAATGTTATCACCATGCGACCGATTTACTGTATAGTGTGGTTTAAAATACTCAGAGTACTTTACAATTAAGCTTTATATACGGGTAATATAGTCTGAGGGGTACTATGGTCAGCGTAGGTGTATAAAATGATCCTCTAAATTCAGCAAATTTTTTTAAAACACAATTACCGATTTAATAGACCATTTATTTACGAAAAAATTCTATATAATGATATATATATGGGTGCAAAAGGAGTATATTACATTTCAAGTGCCATCATTTTCGATAAACTTGTCTATAATACCCAGAATAAAATACATTCTAGACCTCTAAAAAAATTGTGAAAGATATTATAAGGCCTCATAAAGTTAATTTCGTTTTGCACAACCCGCCGACTAGGGGCGGCTCGGCCCGACTTAGTTTTAAAATTTTTTTGCCGGCCTGGCCCGCATATATATAAATTTTTTCTTCAGGCTGGCCCGACCCGACCCAGCGCGCAAAATTTATTATTAAATTTTTAAAATTTTGGGCCCGCAGTTGTAAAATTTTGCTTCAGGCTGGGCTATGGGACCCATGGAGGCCTCTACCACCGAACAATTTTTTTAAATTTTTTGTAAGTCCCAATTGTGCCAATTATTCTATTTTTGCTACAGTCGTCCCCTAAACTATAACCCAAATTTTTATTAAGGTATATATATTAAAATTTCCTCATATATATCAACTTTAATATAATACTTCATTAATATCACTATCAACATGAATTTAAACCAATCTAAAATAGGTTAATATTAATGTGGTTATTTTAATTTTTCTATCAATTTTATCCGATGTCATCCGACAGAGAACTCGATACCCGGAATTCTCCGACATGGTCAATAGAAAAAAAACCTCAGCGCTGTCCAACAAACTCATACAGGGAGATCCCCAAAATTCAGGGTTGGGATACTTCGGATTTAGCCCAGCATTTAGTTAGCATTTAGTAATACAAGTTAACCATTTCTGGGCCAAAATTATCAGCTGGGCAGCTTTACTTAATGAGTGAGCTATGGTTTCATTAGTAAAACTTTTAGTGATCTTGGGCAAAATTAGTTAATTCCGGCCCTGCTGATCATGATTCCGAAGTATTCCGACCCGGAATTTTGGGGATCCCCCTGTATGAGTTCTGTCCAACAGGCGGAAACGTACCCGATCCAAAGTGAATCCCACACGCGGTGTGATCAATAAAACTAAAATAAATAATTTTAGTTTTAATTGACCACACCGTGTGTGGGATTCACTTTGGATCAGGTACGTTTCCTCCTGTTGCGCTGTCCCAATTTTCTGATTCCATGTTATGCAAGACGAAAAATTAACTTTGTATGACCTTAAATATGAGCATGTGTCTATTAATTTACAATAGATTAAAAAAAAAATCCGACTGACCAACGCAATTTTTCTGATCCCGTTTTATGCAAAACGAAAAATTAATTTTGCGTGACCTACTAATCAGATTGTAGTGAAAATTTTGCGTAATATAAACAGGCTAATGACAAAATCTGAGGCCAAAGCAGGGACCAGTCTGTTAAACAGTTTAACTATTATTCTAAAAAAATTCACCATTTATTCACAGAACGTAACAACACCTTAAAGCAGTGTTGTCATGGGACACGGACGCGGATAGCGGACAGTCCAGGACGGGACGTCTCGGACATGTCTGCCAATATTTTTTTGTCACGGATAATTAAAATTATAATAAGAATAGCCGTGTTAGCCAATCAGGTTGTTCGATAAACAATATGACATGGGCAACCATCACAGACATGGGACACTGTCCGGGACTGTCCGTGTCCGCACAATTTTGATGGGACAATACCCGCATACAACACTGTCTTAAAGTGCATAGCGATAGTAGTATTAGATGGTAAAAATTGGTATATATTAGGTAAAATTAAAATTAAATAATAATTGGGAGTAACAACCAATCAGCTCGCTTTTAGGTGATACATTAGAGCTAGCTATTCGGGTAGAACCTCAGCCGCCCGCTTGGTTGATGGGCCTTGATCAACCCGACTCATTAAAATTTTTTACAAAGGTTTTATTAACATTAAAAAATCTTTAAAATATTACATCAAGCCAGAGGTAGTGCAATGTGGTTATATTAAAATTTTACAAGAATCATTTTTATCAAGACATAAAAGCCTGTTTGTTAGATAAAAATTTGAGATAGCCTAATTGAAACTTGTGAGAAATATAGGGAAAATGTACTACGTTGTAGTTACAGTACATGCCGGGTGAGGTTGATTCGACTTTCACAACGTACGTGTTATGTATGAAACAAAAGTTTACAAATAACATTACACTACTGAAAGGTGCTTTAGATGGTTTAATATATTAATATCCTATAATAACATAACCTAATTTTTGAAATCATGGTTGGATCACAGAACCGAATTTCTTCATTTGTACCAGTTAGGCCAGAGTTAACCAGTTTCTGAAATATGAACTGACTGAAATTAACCCATGGAATTAAATTTTCTAGATTTTTATCTTCACGAACAACACATACAAGACGTTCTATGATGTAATTTGAAACGGTAAATCAATATTTGAGGGTTTGGGGCTTCAACTAACGAACCAATAAAAGTGTTTGGAAGAATTAATGAAAATTGAAAACTTTCGAATTATAAATATTATAAATTATCATTGCGATGAAATAAGCCATCATTTTTGAAGATTTTGGGCTATCCAATATTGCAATCTATGGATTCGGTAAAATTCAAAATAGTTCTCATGACATCCGAAATTGAATCATGGAATTGTATTAACATTAGTATTTCAAGATCCTATGTTTGAGAATCGTTGAATTTACATCCATCTATGGCAAAAATCAACAAATTAGATCTACACATTTTTGAAATTGCTGATTGTTCTTGATAATCGTTGACATAAACAAATGCTATCGTTATGAGCTTGTAAATCAAAATGGATCTCCAATACACCCGGAGTAACTGGAAAGATCACAGTTAAGTCGATTATTTTACATTCAACTGAACCAGATCGGTTAATAGGGTTTTGATTTTCGGTTAAAAACACATTAAATTAATAAGACAAAAGCCTCAACTAAGCCTTCCAGCTGATCTGCTGATTATGAATAAACAGAATTACTGGCGATATGTCTTAATGCAATCAGCACAAGATTTATTAGATCAGTAGATTGCCAGAAATAAGTGAAATTGCGTTAAAGCTAATTAATTCTCAAGCTAAAAATCTGTCATTGTCGATCAATGATTGCCATTACGAGAATTATTATTTGTTTTTGCAGTATTAGAGCACTGATCGGCAAATATATCAGTAGTATAGGCCGGATAAATATTTTTTAAGCTTGTCAAAGCGTTGTTATGGCTTACCAGATGGCTAAGCTCAACTTGCCGTAACACTAGCTACAGTTTTAGTACTTTAAATGACAGATCGCGCGATCTCTATGTGGAATTTAATTATAACAATAAAATGGATATATATAAAGGAATTTTACTAGCTATAATCAAATGTTTTAATAATTAAACGCGATCAAAACCTCATATTTTATTTACGATTTACAATGTTGAATAATAGGCTTGTTTTTTTAATTCTTTTAATTCTTTTAAGTTCATTCACTGAGGCTTTCCAAATACGTCAGGACCAACCACAACAAGACCAACCTCAACAGGACCAACCACAACCACAACATGAATCGCAAGATTCAAAAGATTCAAAAGGAGGTCAGTGTCGTCCCTATTTTCTTACTGCTACTTCCATGAACAAATATATGGGCCAAATGACACTTTACCAAGATAACTCTGGATCAGTATGGCTGAGTGGTCTTTATCAAACTGGATTTAATCCTAAAAATTCTTATTCCTGGTCAATTGTTGATAGTTGTAATAATAGTATGTACGATCTTACAAGTTCGCTCGGAATAGAATGGAATAAATGTGATTCATGTTCCAGTAGTAGTCATAGTAATAGCCATTATTATAGAAAAGGAAGAAGGAATGTGGATGAAAAGTGTGGTGGCGACGATTGGGGTACGATGGGATGGGTAGTTAAAATTAATGATTTAATGTGGGATTGTGATGGGCGAGGAGTTTCTCATCAAGGAGATTCAAGTTGCAAAAAGGATAATAAACGTGCGCTTACTGGTGAAGGGCCAGGAAGTGGGTTTTTTCTTCAAGTTGGCAGTAGTGATGGTAGTGGACCGGTTAATACTCCCATTAATGTTAATAATGAGGGTAATGTAGTTGCGCCACCACCACCAGTAAACCAACCAGCCAATCAACCTGCAAACCAACCTGCAAACCAACCTGCAAACCAACCTGCAAACCAACCTGCAAACCAACCTGCAAACCAACC